TGATAGCATGCCTTCAAATAAGCTGTCAACTGGTAGTGATAGCTGTCTAACCATGGTCTTAAGAGTGAGAATTAAGGCTATGACAGCAATCACTGCAAATCAAAAAAGTTCCAGGTAAGGATGAATTCTGGCATCTGCTTCAAGCACCAAGACACAATGCGGGCATAGGAAGAAAACTGTTAGGGGAATAAGGTTTGGAGTATGAAAGTAAGACAAAATATGTCACTTTTGTTCATTTTTTCTGTGACAGTCTTCCATATTTTCTCTGTGATATAGGTTGTGTAAACAAGTTTGGGTTCAGTTTGGGTGATGTTTTTGTAGGACTTCATTAGGTAGTGCATTAAAAATAATCTGTCAGTACTAGACAGCCATGCAAATGTGCATTCACAAAACTGTGAACTAAATTCTGGTTATGGGCTCAACTTATATTCCTATTTCCATAGATACCTCTCAGCACTGGGAAAATTTAAAAAACCCTGAGATTTAAGTCACACTTTGATATGTAAAGGGATTTGGGTTTTATAATTGTTCAGGGAAGGAAATAAAATAGCCTTGTTTTCAAACTGAACACTGAATTAGAGATGAAACACTGTTTATATGTAAGCTAAGCAAACCTAATGTGATATTTACTCAGAAACAAAAAAGTAATCTGCTATTTTAAAGAAATTTAATGACACTACGAAGGGCATCTTTGAAAATAAACAAAACTTCACTCATTTTACATTTTAAAGTTCAGAATATAAGTCTAATAAACATCAGGACTAAATTCTGCATACAGCCCACAAAATACGAAAACATATCTGGGAGCCACTAACCCCTCATCTAAAAAAAAGACGTGTACCAAATCTTATTTTCGCTAAAAAGATGATCTCTAAATACATAAACACTTCGTAAAAATTAAACAGGCTCAACCTTATATGGTTTGAAATGCGATTTCTTTGAATGTGGAAAATAACCAATAGCTATGATGATGGATTATGATCCTGTGGTTAAGATTTAGCTACACCACAGTGATAAATTGAAGAATTTTTTTAATTACTTTTTTTTTTTTCTTAAGAGATGCCCCAAACCAGACACAGGGCACCCAACATGGAAAATCACATTCTTCTAATATTATTTTTTTTTAAAAATAAAGAATACTTTTCCTAAACTTTAAGCCAATCCTCTAGACGTCTTGCAACCAACTGCCATTTCCTAGCACACTGCATGTGAAGACTGTGTGATGGTCACACATTACCATAGGTAATTCTCTTTTACAGAGTTTAGGTGAGAATTTTAATTTTCTTCTTTCAAGTATCCTTTTAAACTGTTTGCATAATTCTGCCCTTACTGAATTAAACAACTTCGAATGATCTAAAACCTTCCTCTATTAACTTGCAGGTGGGAAGAGAAGCCCAACGCTTCTGTTGCTGTGCTGTGGCTTCCAGCAGGAGAAATATAGGTAGGAAATACTTTTGCAAAGTCTGAAATGCCTCTAAACCCAGAGTTCCGTGCTCTCGAAACTGAGTTTAAACTTTTTAAGGATTAGCCTAGAAGGGTTATAATATCATAACATCAGAAAGTATTTTTCTTAAAAGGGAAATACTACTTTTTAACAACAGTACATTTGCTGATTTCTTTCAAAAAAAAAAGAAAAGAAAAGACTATTTAAAAAGTGATAATATTTCAGGGATCTGGCTTTTATTGTTACTCTAGCCCAGTATAGTATTCTACATCTATTAAAAAAAGACATTAAATGATTTCATGTTTATATTTATTGTCAGCAATACATCAGTTATGTAAAAATAACCCAGATGAAAATGTAAGATTTGTTACATTTTCCTGTCATCTGTATTAACTGAATAAAGCTTAGTGACAATATACACAAATTTGCAGTAATTGTACGTAAACATTTTGTGCATTAAAAAAAGAAATTTACATAATTTAAAAAATAAAAATGCATTACACAATTTACAAATTAACATTAACAAAAAAAAAGGTAAACATTCCTCAGACAGCTGCCTCCTTGTTCTACAAAATAAATATTCAAGTAAATTAAGTTAGGCAAAATAAACTCTTAACTTTGGGTGAGCACAATTTACATAAAGGTAAAAAGACAGATTTCCATTTTATTCAAGGTATATTTTACAGTGATTTATACATAGAGATTTTAAATTGGTCTCTTCAGATTGTAATATTGGAAAACAAGCTTTACTACATTTTGGCAGGAGGGAGTTTCAAAACTGATGCTTTATACCAAATATAAACAAGCTTGTGCGGTTGCATCAAAGCTTCAAAAATGAAACTGCTCCAGGACTCAAAGCAGACACAGTAATCTAGAAACTACGGGTTTAAAAAGGAAAATACAAACCACCACATCAACAGGAAAATGTCTACTTTTCTATTTTCTGAATGATTTATTTGATCACTGGAAACGTTACTTTCACGAACTAACAATCTACGGTAGTGGCTGCTTTAGGCACTGGATTTGTAGAAGCACTCTGAGTTTTAAAGCAAATTGCTTTTCATTCTGTACTGATAATTCACTATTATTTATTTTTGTCTCAATGCTAAAGGGCTTGATCACCTTTGCAACTTTAAGCTCAACCTAAAATTTCAGCCCTCCTTATACCCTAATACTTGATAAAGACGGAAGCCATTCTGGCTTCACATTTCCATGCACTTTGTTAATAATAAAAAAAAAATAACAAAAATGCACTCTAGGTTTTAAATGCTGTGTTAGTATGATGCAGATGTGCACCAGCAGAATTCGTTGACCAGATATAAAAAGTAACACACACTAAAATACTTGCATGGACTGCAAAGGCCAAACATACTTTAAAAATCCCTTCCTATTGTCCATTTTACAGAGTAAGAAAAAGGAGATGGCATACCTTTAACTTCAAGTTATTAAATTCTTAGATTTAGGTCATAAAAATCCGAGAGGCAAGAACCAGGCAACAGCTCCTGCTAAGACCAGTCAGTATAATAAATACAGACGACTCTGCCAATGAAAGAAACCCTTTTCCCTCAATTCCTTATTGGTCTGACGTTATTTGATCACACAGAATCAGACTTTTAGAAGTACAAAAATCATGATTAAGCTTTAGTTCTCTACATGATAGTTATCATTCTTTAAAAATTTAATTTTTGCACGTGATTTTATTTTTTTTAATGTCTGACAAAATAGGAATTAACTAGTTTTTTTTCTTAGTTTCTACTCAAGAATGCTGAATAGCCAAGTCATCAAGGTCCGTTTTTTCTTGGTTTTCTTTCCTATGGATCTTTACAAAGTGATGTAAGACTGAGCCACCGGTCCTGCATCCCACGTGAACGAACCACTGCTGCAGCAGGGGGCCGTGGCACTTCACCAGCTGCACTTGGATCAAGGTATAAAATGAGAAATTAAACTTGTCGAAAAGATTGTTACTATTCTTCTCTGTTGGTCTTGCCCATTTGGGGAATACTTACGTAGTGAGAAGGAGATAATTTTCTCGATGCAGTAACACCATAATGGGAATATGTAAAGCAGGACCATAATCTCTCTTGAACATTGCACAAAACACACAAGAATTGTTCTACATGCAACAGAAGTAGGTATTTTTAGGGACTGAGGTTGCTCATTGATCTCCACGGGAGTCTTGTCATCAGTTGCAGTGGATCTGGGCCAACGTTTGCAAAGCTACAGTTTTCTTCAGTGTGCAAAACCTGGTGCTTCTTGAGTAAATAGAGGGATGAGTAGGCAGAAACGGTTTAGGTTATAAAAAAGACCTGAGAACCTAATATTGAACTTTATATAACAATTATTTTTGTGAGGTTGCCTGATAAAAGTTTTGTATTGCTTAGTAGTGGCACAGTCATATGTTCAGGCTACACATAGAAGCCATTTGATGAGAATAACCCCTCTCAGGTCACGAATCACATCTGTAACAGGCATGTGGGTACAGTGGCAAGTCAAGGAGCTTCACGTCGGAAGTGTAACACTGAAAAGCCATAAGCATGGAAGAGGTTAACTGAGTTTCATACTGCCAGAGTTTTTAAAAAAGTCATGAGTACTAAAATGGCAGAACTATCGATCTTATTGTTTACTTGTGAGCACACTCAAGATTTTAACTAAATAATTAAAAGAGTCTATCCGATTACCTGAATTAGAAAAGACAAAAGGGCTCTGAGTATCGCACTGTCAGCAACAGTGAAAACGCTCTCACTAGCGGAAGGAAAAAAAAAAGCAAAACCATTTTTATTTGTGTTGAACAAACAATCAGGATACCTTTCTAGACAGTAAGTATGTCGCTCAGGATTACAGGGCAACCACTTTTCTTTTTCTTTTCTTTTTTTTTTCTAACAAAGTTAACAAATATAAAAAATCTAGTCATAAACAGCCTTCAAAGTACGATTAGAAACCAGCAGGACAATCTATACCAGTATAGGTAGATGGGGCAAGAAACTAGACACTCGTATTACTGCCATGATAGAGACTAGAAATGGCTGCTGTGACGAGGAACGGTGCGTACAGTGCACGTCGTTGGCCGATTCCATCCAGTCGCAGTCCAAACCGAACGCTACTCTCTTCAGGATTCAAGACCCGTCTAACTTGACACTCCTTGCACAAGACACATCATCATCCTTTCTGAAAAGAGGCGGTTTCTATGGCAATACTAGTTAAGTGCATATCATGCTGCACTAATATAGTGCAAAAATTTGCCTTACACGTCGCAAAAAAGATGCAGGCAACAGTCTGAGTTAGAGAAAGTAGAAACATATGGTAACATTTACAATGGGTATTCTTTTTGCAGACAGCAACTGCTAGAAAATACTGAATCTGAGAACGCCTCCATTCCGGATGTATGTACGAGGCCTTTACACTCTGCAGTGACAACAGAACAGAATTTTGCAAGTGAGTCATTGCCCTCTGAAACGCAGGTTAACACAAGTTATCATCAACTGGCAAACTGGTTAATCCCAGTTAAAAGTTAATATTGTACTAAGCGCTAAAATGCTCTTTAACAAGTATATCATTTGATAGAGTAATATATATGGTTCAACGGAGTATATATGTTACGCTTGAATATAAAGAGTCATAGATAGCTTGGTACAAACTCTTCATGCGTACTGATTATACTTGGTTAATGTTGCAGGGGCTTCCAGCTGTCAGCTATGTCAGCTACAGTATTCTGGAGACAGAAGTGGTGCTTCTAGTTTGCAAGACCCAGGAAAGACCACAAATCTCCAGCTGCAGTGTCTTATTAACGTGATTCTGCCAGCTCTCTCAGTGCTGATGGTCTACAGTAAAGCGATAATACCTTGAATATCCGTAGGCATTATGAAATCCATCCGTCTTTATCTATGGCGCAGTTACAGAAAAAAAAGAAAAAGTCAAAACACTTAATCCACTCCATAGAAAATCCCTGTGGCTTTGGATACCTTCTGATTTCAATCCATTACTTTAGACTCCATTTGTCACCATGAGAAGTTACGTTTTACATATCTGCATCTCCATCGTAAGCCAAGGTTAAAGGTTTCAGTCGGTTGTTCTGCCTTCTCTGGGGCTTCTTTGGCTTTTTGCTGAAACAATAAGATAATTTGTAAATAGAACGAGACACTAGTACCAGAGGAAAGATGGATTTCAGTCTTAAATGAAAGATGAGTGTGTTGTTTTAAGATAATGCATTTGGTTGTTCATTCATAAAAGCTAAAAGCCTAAAACCTTCACTTGGAGCAGTAATTATCTCCTTATCAACCCCAAACAAAATCTAATTCAGAGCTCAGTTATTCAGAAACAGGCTGTTACGGTGCTGATGTGACTTGATGAAATCCCTGGCAGGTAATCCTGCAAGATAGTCAGTTTTCAGAAGAACCCAGAAGCCTGCAGTGCAATATTTGGTCACGTATCAAAGCAGCAATCAGATTCTTAAAAATTATGTGACTCAAATCTTAATCTCTCTTGACACATCAAGGGTTTCCACAGGAAAGTTCCATCTTTTGATTAGCTTTATCTTATTATACTTGCTGGAATGACTACAGTTAATTCTAGATGTTATAATCAAACCAGTCACACAGAGCAGGGATATGGTTGTTAGGCATAACCACTCCCTGTCTAGCCTTGAATTAGATTTTAATCCAGCAGTATTTCCAATCCATTTGACATAGTTTTAAAAAATTACCACATCAAAGGAAAACGCATGTTTAGGCACGCTTTACTCTTTGTCTTCTTACAATGTAATATAAGCATTTTTTAAAATCAGGCCTGTGCATCTTCAGTCTTGTCCAAATTCTTATCTCAGCTCTGTCACTCAGGCTTCGCAAATCTAAACCTTTGGTCTTCAGTCTTGTCCAAATTCCTATCTCAACTTTGTCACTCAGGCTTCGCAAATCTAAACCTTTGCTACCAAACCAGTTGTTACAGCGGCCTGCAGTGGCTCAAGATTGCAGTCTGCAGAATCTGCAGTGGAGTTTTATGCTAATGGATTTTCTTTTCCACAAGAATAAATTTCTTTCTTCCTTACTTAGACAGAAATGAGATTTTGGGTGAGATATAATAAAACCCAAACAAATCCAGAAGCCCCCTAAATGCCTACTAACACAGACCAGCCAAGAGCCTGACATGTATGACCACTCTTCCCTCACCTTCCACCTACAGTCATTTGGCTCACAGATTCGAAACAGGACCTAAAAAACTTTAGAGAAAGCATTCGCAAAGGTGACTTTTTCTTGCAAAGGATTTTTGCTTTCATGTGCACTAAGACTTTCCAGTAGAATATTATTTCATGTATGAAACACACATGGGAAAACGTTTAGAATTCTTTTGGTTGCGTATCACTGAATATCAAATCTGACTTGCCTGGTTACTAAATTTCCTTATTGCTATTTCTCTCTGCATTTTGTGATACAGAGACAATGAAATTATCATGGACGTGGTACAAAATATTCTTGACAAACAGAAAAAATAAACTACACACTACGCAACTCCCATATTTGCAAAAATTTCTTCTAACTTCAGGAGAGAATGTGTTTAGCCATCATCTAGATTACAACCAGAGTCCACTAACCTCAGCTTGGGCAAAAAAACATGGAAAATTAAATGCTGCAGTTTACAGAAGTGCCTGCAATTTCTACAGCAGCATATGACAACACTTGCATTACAGTCAGTGTGGGACTGCTTGTTTGTAAATAATTAAAGAACTCACCAGGCTAGATAGATCATAGAAACAATAAAGATGAGTAAAACAAATGCACCAGCAGCTACACCATAAACCCAGGTCTTCAGCCTCCCATCTAAAAGGAATGAATGTTAGTCAGTAGTGTTCAGGTTAGTCTTGTTGAATTATTAGTTCTGATACAGTATAGAAATAGTTTTACAATCCAAAATACAGGTCTTCACTAGCAATTACAGTTTAATAAGAGTAAATACTGCTAAATAACTGAGCAATATCTTCTCTGTGCACTTGTGTTTGGCTTTTCTCTGAGGTCTGGAGAGTCTGAATGGAGCCAAGAGGTGAGGCAGAGGCAGCGAGACCCCAAGAAACCCAACCCCTGGGCCCACTGGTAGGGAGCAGTTCTTCCACGTGATGCCAGGGCAGCTGCTCAACCCAGGACTCGTAGGTGCTGCTAGCACCACATTTCATTCTAGCTCTGGTAAATCAATCTGCCTGTCATTTTCATTCTTGTTGCTATTTAATTTTATGGTTTTACTTCATCCATATCTTAACTGCCCATGCACAACTTCTACTCCCGCAGGAAATAATATTTTTTTCAATTTCTTCCCCTACCAAATGCAGGTTTTATTATTCTAAATCAACTTTGCCAGTAGAACAAGCAAAAATAGACCAAAGAAGACAACCCATGCTCATAAACAGAACAACTGTCTGTAGTTAATTAGGACTGTATCTATTCGCAGCTTGTGCAGTTTGTATTTTGGACACGATGTTCCTGCAGGCTCAGGTAGGCATCCCATTCTCCTGCTTGCCTTGATCCTAGATCTACCTAGATGTCACAATCCAAGGTCAGTACTTGCGGCTTGGCTCACTACTTTTACCTGTCTCAGCTTGCAAATTTCTGAATGGCTTTTTGAAAACATTCTTTTACAGGATGTTATCTAGCCTTGCCGGATCTCCTTGCTAATGCAAATACCATTAAAAAGCTGAATGATTGCATTTACAAGGGGCAACATTAATATTTCATGAAGTCATGTATATTTTCAACATAGGCAAACACAGTTAAAATTTTTCTGACCAAATACTTATTGTTTCCTGATGCCTATGTAGAATAAAATGCTTTTACATTTACAACAAAAATTAGCCAGACTGACTTTGCTGAGATTGACAGTAGCCCTCTCTCTTGCTGTGCAGTTAATTCCAGGCTTTCTGTTCTCTAATAATGCAAAGTCTGGCAGTCATGTGGACAACTGGTTCAAGACTAATTAATGTAAAACCATTTTAGCTTCATTACATTAATCGACCTAATGAAACATTTAAACTGATAATAACTTATATAACTGATCCATTAAAGATGGATTGAACAGTAGGTTCAACCTGACATATCCAATGATATGATAATAGGAACGAGAGGAATTCAGACCTCGGTACCGCTAAATAACTTAGTTTCTTCTCTCCTTGGCTTATTTCAGTTGGGTAAATGTAAGAGGGTTTGGGTTGTTACGGGTTTGCTTGTTTTGAAATAGTATTATCTCTTTGGGAAAAAAAAAAAAAGACTGGCGTTACTTTATATATAGATTTATTTATTTTTGTCAAAGCAAGGAACTTGTTAATGAGATTGTTTATAGTACACAACTACAGGCATCTTACTCAGGCTTTCTGAATTCCCCCTGGACAGATTATTTCTAAGTATACAAGGCAATCGGCATCTCAAACTCATCTGTTTTGGGTAAAACATCAGCATAGACACCTGAAGAGGATAGTTTTAAAACCTTCCTTTCTGGAACTGCAACATAATCTGCTGAAGAGAGTGAAAGAACTACTTTAAATCTAGACTTGGAAACTTTGACGAAAGGAATAATCATGCCAGAGTAAATCAAAACCTTTCTGATATAGCGCCCCAATCCTGGAATTAAAATAAGCAAGCATAAATCTCATCTGAAGTGCAAAATGTTCACTTTCTTCCACATTTGCTGATACCTTCGCTGGACAAAGTATTCTACTGAATACCATTGTTTTTATCTGAGGTGAGCCATGTTTCCTTCCTAATTTGAATTACTGGAAAATTGTCAAGTTTTCATGGTATCTCTTAACTATTCTTTGCTCCAAAAATCATGTCTGAGCTCACATGACATCCACCTTCTTAAATAGTTGAAGGCAACTACCTGACATTAACTTATGGCTGCTACAACTCACCTTCTGCTATTTTCAGGTGGCGGTAGCTAGAATTAGTAAAAGATAATTGGTAAGATGCTATTTTTTAAAGGAGGACCAGAAAAGCTTCGTTTTATTTTATTTTATTTTTTATTGTCGATTAAAATATTAACTAATTGGAGTAAAGATCATTTTATTGCAAGTATCAAATATAGTATGACAGTACAAACACCAGTAGGACTAAAGGGATCTAACATAAGTATTTCTAGCCTGAACATGATTTAATCTGCTTATCAGAAGTATTGCTGTAATTCTTAATTTGTATCATTTTATGGATTTTGCCTGTGAAGATACTGTTTTCAATTCTCAGATTAAAAACTCGTAAAAGCTTTAGAAAAAATGAACATGGTAAGACACAAGTGGTTTAGAATATTTAGCTCTATGTGATTTAAAGGACACTTAAGATCACCAAATGCTCTCTACATTTTGGACAAACAGCATATCTCTTTCTATGAAAGTATTTTGTAAATTAAAGCTTTGTTTATCTCAATGCTCAGTAGTACCAGGAAATGTTTACTGAAATCCTATTACGTGATGGATTTTATAAAATAGTTTTATATTTCTTGCTACAGTTGCACATAAATTCTTGTTCAGTCATAAAGAACATGGTCCATCATAAAAGCAAATATTACCTCTAGAGACTTAGAGCATGTCTGTGCTAAATATCAATAATATGGTTAATTCTTGACTAACATGAATTAGTTTAAATATGGATATGGCAGTAAAGCATTAGTATATTTGTACTGATTATTTTCTGACAATTTATGCTACAGCTGCAAATTTTGAGCAGCCCTTAGCCCCTGCAGCCTTCACTGCTACCTTTTCACTCCTCTATCAACGGCGTTATTGGTTGAGACAGCAAAATCTAACGTCCTGGCTTGCATCTTTGCAGCCAACTCCCTTCTAAAGCGACATTTAAAATAACTGCTGTGAATTTTAACAGGAAGAAGGGATTAAAAAAAATCTTATGCAGTACATGATTTCATTAAATCTATTGCTGGAGTAGCTGAGAAGGCTACGAGTTTGCTTATGTCTCTTCCTTTTTTTCAGTCAGGGCAGATGCCTGTCCTCTTAAATGAACACTCAAGGGTTTTTCTTTTCTTCCTTGGCATCACCAAAACGTAAATGCCATACCCTGCAGCAGCACTCAGCGTTAAGAACTGCTCATTGCATGACTTCACCTGGCCCAAAAGGCTGTAGAAACCAGGTCCTTCCTCGTCCTGACTGGTTACTGGAGGGCTGGGTGGGGTTCACGGCTCGACTGGTTTTCACATCTCCCTTTTTGTCCTCCATGGTGGGGATCACCACCACTGGGATGAGAGTGCACTGTTCGAGTGTGCCATCGGAGGACGTAACTTCCGTGTATCCGTCTTCACAACTGCACGCTCTAGTCTGTAGGGAACAAGTGTTTTACACTACGTAGCAGAAAAACACAGTTTTCTGTGAGCTATAAAGCATAACAACACGGATGATTGGAAGAAAAGACTATTTGGATGAGCGCTAGATCGGAGAGTACCTCTTCATATATTCTTATGCAGCTTTGTACCAAATCAACAGAGTTTATTCAACGTTTAATTGAAAGGCAGAAAACAGCCTGAGGTTGATTCTAACAAGCTGATGATTAGCAAAATCTCTGAAAACACTTTTTTTGTTGGCATAATCTCTGCAACGTAGAGAGACGTGTGGGAAGCTCTGCTGGGGGGTGTTTTATGCTCCAATGCAGTAGCACATACCTCACTGCAGTAAGCGTGGGGTTGACTGCAGGGTGGGTTACATGACCTGTCAGCGTCTGGCTGGCGCATCACTAAACAGCCCCCTGTAGGACAGAAAATCATATTTTGACATGGTAATACCTCACCACTGATGAAATCACTGATGCCATTACTTGCTACGGTGTGTCATGGATTACAGTTCAATCGCTAATTTGAATTTAAGAGTCTTTCTTTTATTCCAAGGTGAAGGATAATTGGTATCAAATATTTTCTTATAGGTAGAGTAACGATACAGCATATGAATTTTCATTCATGTGCATTCTTGCATATTTGGCAAGTAAATCTTTTTTTTTTCCCCTTCGTTCCTTTGTTGGATTGCTCAAAAACCAGTTTAAATGTTTTGTTGTGCAGATTTGGGTTCTCTAGGGCCCTCCTTATGCCTTACATATTAAAACTGTTGCCATGAAAAAAAATAAAAGCATATTTTTGACATATCTTTTCCTGTGAAACTGAAAACAAACTGCTCATCCGGTTTATTAATGGATACCTGTTTTCTGCTGCTTCTCAGCAGTCTTTTTTAAACACGCTATAGTTTTGCCTCTTATGAAGCCACACTTCATGCTAGTTTCAGAGTTTTTGGAAGGGAAAAAGTATTATGAGTAAAGCATGTACTGAATACTAGGGGACTTATGATACAGAAGGTTTCAGTCTTCTTTTTGTACAGTCTCATGTCTCATTTCTACAGCTTTATGTACAGTGCAGTTATTGTTATGGACCAATACATGCAATCAGGCTTTCACTATCATTTCAGCCAGAATGACATTAAAATATATTTAGAATCGGTTTGAATTTACCTGGGTTTCCTCCCAGCTTACAGAAGAGGGATATGCATCAAGTAGTTTAAAATTTATACTCCTGCAAAACAACTTGAAGTAACATTTTTTCCTGGTAGTAAAACCAGTAACATTTGCAGTAGCATTTTTTTTTACTGGTGTGATATGACGATGAAATCCTGATAGCTGAGGTTGGTCATGACCATAGCAGATGCAGTTAGATGTGGTTACATAGATCCAAGTGTTAAGAGGATGGCCAATGAAGAACAAAGAAAACTCTGCTGGTGGCCATAAGAATTCCTTCCCCCTCCCCGCCCCGAAAGGAAATTGTACATCCTAGCATACAAATCACATGCCTGTGGGAATCTATGCAATAAAATATCAGTCATCCAAGGAAGCTGCAGAAGGAAAGAGTTGCCTCATCGCCCATGGGAAACAACACCTTCAAGTAAAAAAGAACTATTCAGCACAAAAATATTACACAAGGTAGTAAATAAATAAAGGTCTTAAAATACCAATAGGACTCGTAATAAAAAATTGATAACGTCTGAATTAAAATACAGTATGGTAGAGACAAATGTGCAGCAAGAAGGCAGAAAAGAAACACAGTAATCCGAGACGGAGACTGACTATAGATCAAAATAGGTATTCTCCATTTAAATCAGCGGTGTATGTGCATCTATCAGTGTAAACTCTTAAATACTGTAGTTTATACAAACTTGTCAAAAAGGATTCAAATATAAATTACAGGCCGGTTCACAACTGTATAGTTCATGCAGGCAAGTTCTCACAGAACATCATACTTAAGTGCTTTGTTTGAAAACTATCAGGAACACATAAAAATTTCCATTACATGGAAACTGGTGATTACAATTGCCTGGAATTTTCCACTGCATTTCAATGTCTTCATTTCAAATCAGAAAGTTACTACAGCGTTAAAACAACATATGAACAAACTTTGAAAGACGAGATTCACTATAGGACTGAGGTTAAGTCTGTCTAGGAGGTGTCATCATGAAAAATCTGCCAACAACACATATTCATACACTTGTCTTTCCTGGAATTTATCACATAGCTGTTGTCAGTCACCTCAGAACGTACCATTATTTTTATGTGACTGACTGTGATTTATGAGTATATTCTAGTGTTAATATCTCAGAGCCACAATTGCCAAGACACTACTTATTCTGAAATCCTGTAGGACCTTCAATAGATTATTAATCTCAGTAAGAACTCTTACTTAGAGTTTTACTAACCATACAAGCATCTTAGCTAGGCAGGAAGCAATCAAGCTGCATAAATAATGCCCCGTTGCATTCATTGTGAAGATGATGCATTTTAATATTCCTACAGCACAAGGTGACACTTCCTAAAGAGACTTCGGGCTATTAAGTATTATTTCAAAATCTTGTAAAAACATTTTACTCCTACTGATACAGCAGACAGTAGTGGTGGATTCCATCATCAAAAAGTATTGCACTGGCAGTCCATGAATTAGAGCTCCCTTTCTGTGACTGACCTGACAGTGGCTGACATTGAGGATGTGCTTACAATATTTCTCTATCACCTAGGCTAATATAAAAAAACATTTAAAGAACAAATGCATAACTTTTAGCTTAAATGAATTCATATAAATACGTATATATGACATTTTCTTGAATTCGGAGATCTCAGTCATTCTCAGTTAATGGTGTTTTGTGCTTTGGTTTGCACAAAAAGTCACTACGTCCCACAGCTGTCCATTGAACTATCCTACTATAGGTTTATGTCATTCAAGTAAACAAATTTATATTAGCGCATTTAATAACATTTGTAATTTTAAGGAGATATATGCATGATATTATCAAGCTTTGCATCTCTCTGCCTCCGTATAGGCACTGAAATGAACTTTACATAATAGTTCTATTTCTTGTAGGGCTTGAAATCTGAAACCTAAATTTAGAAGTGTGAAGATGTCTATGGTAAAAAAAATACAAATGTAAAACATTCCAGGTTCATTGCAGAAGAAAATAGTTATATTTACTTTCAGTATTACATACTGCATAACTGTGGAAAAGAAATTACAACCTTAGTATGCAAAACTGTGGTGATACAAGACAACAGCATGTTGTTTTGTACATCAGGAACATTTGGTTTTAGCAAAAAAAAAATCCATTTGTTGGGAAAAGACATTATCCACCTGTTTTGCAGGCTTTTGTGTGTCTATGAAAAGAGTAATTACCTGTGACATTTAAACCATCTGACCTCTGGCACCACACGGTTCGAGATGATCCCTTCCAGGGGCTAGCCATCCACTTGTACTCATAGCACTGGCCATCTAGACAAAAAAAATTCACTTTTCAAGAAATCTGATGTCAAGATTTTAGGCTTGTGGCAGCCACAGTCATCAGCAGACCATACTCATTACGTTTAAGGGCTTTTTATGGCTAAATAGGCCTCTTCCTCCTCCACCCAGCGACTTAGAAGGGTGCCCTGCACACATGGAGGCCTCAAGGTCTCCTGCACTTACTGGATATCGACAGACAGACCAGATGTGTCCCGGAACTGTAACGGTTGCACACACTGCTCATGGAGTTAATGGGCAAAGCTAATGTTTCCAATAACCTCATAATTGTTGTGGCCCATCTGTTGCATAAAACTCCTTTAGGAGTCAGGTTCCCTTCCTGGTAACACGGAGCTTCAGGCGATGCTCCAGGGCTTGGTGAAATTGCTTCACATCTTAGTTGTGCTGTACACCTCTCATACGGCCTGGGATAAATCATGAAGGCTTTCTGCACCTTAGCTCCCTCATACATCTAAAATTCCTTTTTGCCTGATCTGTCTGGGCTGTGACTGGACAAGAAATGTCTGTACAGTAACAACTTTTCTTAGATACCATGCCCAGTTCCAGTGGTGGCATGACCGAGAGTTTTAAATGTCATTGTCATGCGATTAACAGCCATTCAAAGGGTAGAGAGAAATTTAAATTTGGCTATGTAGCAAAAACTCAAAGATTTCTTTTTATTAATGGTATCAAGCAAGTAAAGCTGGTCCCCTTCAAAGTTTCCCTCAGGATAATATGGTGAGCCCTGGGGAGCCTTGATACTGTATCACTGAAAGAAATTTAATTATTAAAAAAGGATCAAAAATTCCCCACAGGCTGAATTTAAAGTGTAACATACAACAATTAGTACGTAAAAGTTTTTCTGTTTAAGGTTGATATCCACAAAACAAAAATCTAAGTGCATTTCTAGGCCCATCAAATCCATGTTTGACTAAATTTGATACCATGAACAGAAAAAGAACAAAATTATTGAGGTACTGTCTTTTTTTTTTTTTTTTCCTTACAGGAGGTGGTCTTATGTACATTTTGGTGCTTACCATTGCATGGTCTTGTTTCCAAAGCCTGTTCTGGACAGAGATGTTGATTCTCTAATTCCTGAATGATCACTGCCCGAGATCGGACTTGGATCCCTCCAAAGCCAAGATCCTCCCCATTAACACAGGTCAGCTGACAGAGGCTCCATTCCGACCACTCTCTCAAGTAACAGTCCCCTGTCAAACAGCAATTTTACAAGGTGAACAACACATCATATGTGAAGAGATTTTCGCACTGAATATGCCCTAGAAAAAAGTGTCTAAATCCCGCTTCTTGATTTCCCTTCGTTTCCTTTCATTCCTCATTTTAAACGAGACTTATACTTAACAGAAGATAATATTTCGACACTCTCTCAGTATCTGTGCAGTGGAAAATAGTAACAAAAAGATCATACAAAAGCTTTCTTGTTCTAATGTAGAGTAGTTCCTCGTAGGATTCCCATAAGATCCCTCATTTTAAATTTCTGAGTAACGCTCCAGCTATGTTTGGATTTTTGCAAATTTTAGGGTATTGTGCACTGTAGGCCTTATGGCAGATTTATATATCTTGTTCAAACTTCTTCCTTGATCTTTGAAAGAGAAAACATTGTCTAGTATTAAAAAGATTAATTGTTGCTTATCCTCGTGAAGAATTTCTCTAAACGGACAGTAGAAGCAACTGCTGGAACATTCTTTGCCAGAAAGGAAAATGGAAAGGCCATTAAAATGTCTGTTCTGGCTTTTTCGTGTTAGGATAATAGAGATTTGTAGAATATTATGGTGTAAAACTGAAAAATAAAATTATACTAATGATGTTCATTAGCAAGATCAACTAAAGAAAATTTAAGGAAGATCTGAGGCACAACACAGAGACCATTTTGTTAAAACTGCAGAAGAAAATGGGACTAGACTGGGCACAGCCTCATAAATAAACCTCTTAGTTCTCATTATTTCAGTGAAAGAGCTATTAAAAATTCATGGTACCTTGCATTATACTGATGACAGATATAATCAGTACTGTGTTGACCAGATGCCTGATTAATGAAGGAATTTTATTTGCCATGTTAGGAAAGCAAGAGAACAAATGAATAATTGAAGAACTGATGTATACATAATAGGAAAACAAGTAGTGATTTTTGGAAACATTAGTTGGAGCGTATCATTAGCACATCCCCACAGGGCAGTTACTCTTGATGGCTAAATGTAAGATTTTTGAAGAACAGGTTCCTGCTCAGCAAAATTTGAAAAGCAAGCAGTAAGCAGCTATTTTTTAAAAATAAATTTGACTAACAAGAAAACATAACTACAAGCATTTTTGTCTTCCATTTTTCATTTAGTAAGTAAAAATATGTGAAAAGCATGTAATTGGGATGTCATGCACAAAGCAGTGATGGAAGCCTCTCTGGGTTTGATTATTTTCTATTTATTGAGGCAACTTTACCATTAGTCCAATTCGAAATGAAATGGAAAAAAATTCTAAGAAAGAGGAGAGTTGCAAGAGACCAAAATCAGAGTACTAGTACAGAATGATAGCCAAATTAGAATTGAGGGAGTTAATCACTACTTCTGAAGGTACATCTCTAATTACTCTACTGAACAACAACAATGTTCTTCAAATTCTACAGTTAAGTGTTTTAGATGAACTGGAGGGGTTTTACTGGAAATTAAACAGCTCTTAGAGCCTCTTAATCCTTCTCACTATCAGGGTCATGGACCTGTTCATTTCTAACAGCTCCTCTGGATTCAGTCTACAGAGGCAATGATAGTGCATGTCACATCCAGAGAGTTAAACAGCTAAAACACCTTCTCTCAGAGATCAAAATTATGGCATCATTTGGAAATAAAAGGCATGGAGTTCTTAGCCCCAGTTCAAAGTATTAATAAAGATGTTAGGGGATCTAAGCACTTAAAGCAAATACTTAGCTGTAAAACAACACTCTGTCTTATATGATAAACACAAGTTTTGTTTCAAAAGATTTTGAGAAAAATTTATTCTTACTAGGTAGAATCTGTGACTGAGACATGCCTTTTATAAGTTTAAAACCCAGTATTTTTTTTCTAATTCATTTAATGTCATGAAGCCACTATGAGAAAGTAAATCTGTTGGTCATTTGATGGCTGAATCCAATCAGCAAAGCATGTGAAGAAGATTTAACTGCCTGTGGCTAATGCTAGGCACCGATAACAGTAAGGGTGCCCAACCAATCTTGAAATGCAACATTTACTTGAGCAGATTTGTTACCTGGACAAGGGACAGTGCAAGTTTCCTCAAGTATCATCTTCTTATTGCCATCTATAATAGGCTCTATTTCTCCACAGAATTCCTCATCTACTACTTTGCCAGTATCTTCCATGGATCCATCAAAAACCACACAGGAAATGTTCCTCACTCGTGTTCCCTCTCCACACTGAGCATCCTGGGGAATGAGGACATACACAGATGTCGGACAGAAGTGCCAAAAGACTAAATCTGAGCTACATATCTCTATCTCCAATTATTTTTTGCTCCATTGCCTATTCATCCATTAGGGGGAAAAAAATGACATTGTTTTTTACTTCTGAAATAAACAAAAAAAAACCCCAAAACCAACCAAATCAAATCAACCAACCAAAGAAGCCCACAAGAAGTTCTGCTGGCTGCTACCACTGTTTCTTAAAGTACGGAGCTAATTATTTCTCAAGTAAAAATCTCTTCTAGGATGCCAATATGTTTCCACAGATATTCTTTTACAATTGAAGGATTTCAATTATTCACAAAGATGCTGTTTGGGTACCTAATTTCACATTTATACTTGGAATATTTTAGGATATTGTTGTATCTGTTGAAATATATGAACTCTAAGAAGATTTTGTATAAGAAAAGTGGAAGCAAGTTGTTCACAGTCTAAGCAGGTACCTCAGCATATCACAAGCTCCATAACTTTGAAGTCCCATATGGCTTTTTACCTCTACTTTGCACGCAGACCATTGACCGTATTGCCATCGATAGCAAGGTTTTACTGGACAGGGTTTAAATTGCTCCATCTGAGAAGGACAAGGCCTCCCATCACCCTGAAATGGCTGATTTATGGTCCTTCTTCTGATCATTTTTCCTGTAAATAAGAAACAGCAATATACCAAACAACAAAGTGGTTTATTCTTCAAGATGATTCTATTTTGGTGAAAAGACTTGTGTTTGAATAAAGTAATTTTTCCCCATTTGACAAATTGGATTGTAAAGCAGGTCTGTTGGCTCTTGTCTGTTACATGGATTTATCTTTTCCAAGTGAGACAATTCATATTCTATTATTTGTTCATACTGTGAGAAGTGCAGGAAGATGTCTGATTAGGATTTCAGATTGCTCCTGTGACAGCAAACAAAAGCAGTAATTTCCTAGTTCAGAAGCCTGGGGAAAACTACTCTCTGAATGTGACAATATCTTTGTGGAGATTTCAGCTCCTCATCTGAAGTTCACTATTAGAAGAGACCAGCGGGTTCTGTTCTTCCCCAAGTTAATATAGAATCATCTGTCCCATGATTGTCTGATTCCAGCAACCAGAACAGCTTGTAACCTTCCCTCACTGTCTGTCTGGATAACGTGACACACAGATTTTGCAGGAGATGGGGGATTCTTCACTAAATCCTGAAGAAAATTAAAATACAATAGGCTTATCCAACATTATCTTCTCTTCAACCATGAGTATCACGTTATCCAGCATCATTGAGATACAAGTTCTATTTCAAATATTTATACAAACAGAAAGAGGAAGACATTTTTATCCTTTCAGCAACACATGCTTCTTTCATCTTGCAGTGGACGTTAGACCATCGTGCATCATTACAGAGAGGTCATGTGAGATAATAAAAAATTTGGGGTGCTAGATTTACATTTGTACACTGAGGCTTACAACGAACTAAGGCATTACATAGATTTACCTACAGAACACCCTGTGTTAGCTGGCCCAAACAATTAATCTTTAATTCCCCATTTCCCTCTGATGCATTTGGAACTGAACAGCCCAATAATCATGACATGAAATTTTTGCTGCGAGCAAGCTCTCCACAAGCTACGGTGCAGCAGCAGAACTATATCAGTCTCCCAGACAGCAGTGTTGGCTGCAGCCAGCTAGAAAGGTGTTTGCCAAGTGGAGCCTCATCACTCTTGAATTCGTAGCTGCTCCAACAGAGATGGCACACAAGCAAAAAGATTTTCTTGAAAAGTGCTGGAGGAAAAAGCCCCAAAGAACAGCAACAAGCAGAATTCCTCCATATAGAATTCTTCCCCAACTTTATGGGTATTTGCACGGGTGTGCAAAATGCAGTCACTTGGTTTATTAGGTGGTTATTACTAATTGAAGCAGCAGTGACTTCCAGCTTCTTGTCTAATAGGAAAATTACAGCTTCAAGGTTTGCATGTGAGGTTGCCATCACCTGTTAAAAACATTGAAAATTTGAAAGCTGTTTTATATTGCTATTCAAAATAAATTTACTCAGTTCTACAAATAAATTCTATACCTGTAAAGCATAGCGATTTCAGATAGTGACCCACCTTCACATTTTGAAAAAGCACAGCAATGATAATTTTCATTCTGAACAGTATCAGGTCAGTTGTTCGGGTCTTGTATATAAACAGAAGCTTGGAAAGGAAAATCTGGCAACATGTTTAAGCCTACAATAAAACTGTTAGTTCAATTATTGCTCTAAAAGAATTATTTGAATATAGAAATTACACTTCGAGAGAAGCTCAAAAAACTTAAACATTATGACATTCAGATTCTATGATTATTAGACACTGCAATATCAAATTATTAGTTGTTATCATTAAAAAATAGATAGGTTGGGATCCTGAAGTTGTCAGAGATCTCAGATGTTCCTGTCTAGTCATCCTCCCTGTGGTGCACTCCCCAAGGAACATAAAAAGATGCAATTTCCTTTTACTCCGAGCCCAGCAGTTGACATTGGATTCCATACCCTGTTAGCCATCCAATATGTTCCAGAAACGATTACAGAGTGAAGATGCTTCACAGATGCTTCTACCCTTCCCTTTCAGTGGTCTGTTGCCTGGCACAATGGTACTTTTAGGTGCTTATTCTGAGACATATTAGTGTCAATAAATAACAAGAGCTCCCGCATTACTAGAATGTGCCTTCGACAGTCATTCTCTGACACAGTTGTTTAAAATACTTAGTGGTTAGCAACATTTTGGAATAAAACCCTATATTAAAGTGGTCACAGTGAAAGTAACTTGTCCCCTCACCCTTGTTCCCTGTTTAAAAATATGGAATTCTGGAGTAAATCTGTTGATTTCAATCATTGTGCTCTTCTACAAGTTTAGGTCTTCTCAACTCAACACTAATTAAAGTTAAGAGGAAATCTCTTCCTTCTCTTACTACCTTCACCGGCTGAAAAACATATATATTCATATTAGTGTTTATTTTTGTCTCAATATATCATTCATCATATCTCACTTTGTTCCCAGAGGCGAAAACTATTCTGGGCCAAATTCTCATTATCTTCAGTAAATACAGTCTCACTGAAGCATATTATTTCCATGAATAAGGCTAATTTAGATCCCTGTCACTCTCCTTTCTAGATCTGCAAAAAGAGATATTGCTTTTATTAAAGAAAACAATTTGAAATACACCAAAAGAGGTACCTGTAAGGCCACATGTTTGAGAGCACTCAGACCAAGGGGACCAGTCAGAGAGCTGACAGTTCACAGGACATTCCACCACACAGGACATATTCATTTGCCATGTCTTCTCCAAACCAAGCTAAAAGAAAATATTCAATGGTCAGCACATAACACCTGGTCTGTGTCATCGGTGTCATCACTGGGCATGGTGAATCTGAGACAATCTCACTTCGAGACAATCCTAATGCATATGCTGATTTTTAAATACATGCTTAAATCTTATTTTCATCAATCATTTTCTAAATTAGAACCTGTAAATGGAGGGCTTCAGCTCTACAGTATTACTTCATACAATAGGTAAAGGATAAAGTAATTTGTGAAGTATCAATAAAGTATTTTGAAATAGTAATTTAAAAATGCTGAACTATCAGCAGCTACTAACAGCTGAATTCAAGTGATGCTAGGAGACAGGTTCAGAACTAACAGAAGGAGGTGGATGAACATGCATTGGATAGTCAGCTTATCTGCCAGAAGATGTTGCAGGTGATAAAAGTTTAAAAAAGATCCTGAGAGACTGAACAAAGAAATGTGAAGGTTTAAACACATAGAAACCACACTGGGCAAACGCAGTCCAAGAACTGCAAGCAGGGGGCAGCAAGAGGAGTAGATGGAAACTCATATATATCCGTACTCCTTACTCTTCCTTAGACATCTGCTCATGCCTGTTCCTTATTTTTTTCCCTAACTCAGTGTGTAAATTTATTATATATATTATGCTAATCCATTCTACCATATGCAAAAATATTGACATGACACTGACAATGATTTGTTCTAAAAAAAAAGCCCGAGCTTTGCATGTTTTTCTGAAAAGCTCTGCAAAAAGCAGAATCCTCTAAAGTAAAAGCTGCAAATGCCGGAGAAATATGAGACAAGGGGACACAGAAAATAGCCAGACTCATATTTTTCCCAAAAATACATTCTGTATTAAGTTCTGCTCTGGGCAAGAGTCAGAGGACTCAGCCTAATATTAACAAATTATAGAACCTCCACAAGGAAGGAAGAGTTTTACGGTCATTCTTGGAGATGGTACAGTAGCTACATGGTTTTTTGGTCTAATCCTGTAAAGCCATTTCTATATTCTTATAAACGCCCGTGTTTCAGATTTTCCCCATCCAAAGAAGAAGCGAGATATTTTCACTAACACTCGTGATGCAACTGATGGCAAAAAAATTAGCATGACAATAATAATCCCTGCAGCCTGCCCAGCTTCAGAAAAAGTTAAAAGGGATTGGTAGGTTATAGTGTGTATATTACAAAATGTGAAAGAAAATCAATCCTGTCAACATGAACAGATCTGCAGCTTCCCAGCATAAAAGACTGTCCTCTTCGTTGGCCCTCACCAGTGGACCTTGATCATAATCAAGGCCTTTCAGAATTCCAGAAGGTTGCAGATATCTTTTAAATAGATAAAATTCCCACCTAGTTCAGTTAAAAAAAAAAAAAAAAAGGCATACTAGACATTTCAAAATCTATTAATTTTAATGACTGGAAAGGTTAATGACATAAAACCAGCTGTTAAGACTTTAAAAAGGAAATAAAAACACTATTTCCTACTAAATGCAAGCATAGACCAATAATTAGGCACAACATTAACATGCCCTCCATAAATAAACTACCACAAGTACTGGAAATGTCTCACCCTTATAGACTCACCAGGTCTTAAATTTGCATTTTCAGTACCATTTATTGAGACAAATGAGGTTTAAGACTTCTGTTCTGTTTTATACATCAAGGAACTGGTTCTTGGCTTTTCTCTGTGGTACAGTATAACCTTGATTATCCAGCTATCGCACACGGGCAACACCTGAAATCTTTGGATAATCTGGAATTTGGATAATTAGGAAACTAGAGAACTGCCTTTGAAGTCTATATTTGGGTCAAATCTGAGCAAAGGCTTTAAAGCCTGCGGAATTGATTCCTGCCAATTATAGAAACCCGACCGCTCTCTTTCAATGCTGGCCTTTCTCAGCTGGACTTTGGCAGCTAGAGAAGGAAAAGCCCATGAGAGGTATTAAAAGTGAAGAGGAGAAAGCTGAAGGCCAGATTACTCAGAGTGATCTGCCATTTGCATGTCTTAGATAAGTGCTGCTGAAATAGGTTTGGGGAGCTATTGGCAGGCTGTAATTTGACAGGAATCACGTATTCCTTTTTTCATCCCTCTCCTTCCTGCAACTGATGAACCTCAAACCACCTCGAAGAGCTTAGAAAACGTCTGGAAAAGTGTTCAATAGCTCCCTTATCTAAAAGAGTCCGCGTTGTGGATGAACTCTGGCTTGTGATATGAGAATGGCAAGAAGTTTTGCTGAAAGCTGCTGTTGAGCACCCTGTACACGTGGTGGGCACACACCAGGGGCAGCAGGCTGCCAGACCAGCGTGCTCTGCAAACCCCGGGATCCACAAAAAGTCTCTCTATTTGTTTATAGGAATGTTTGGCGCCACAGATTAACCTTCACTGGAGGTTAATCATGTAATCTGATAGACTATTTGCCAATAGACCAGAAAAGTTTGCTTTCTAATGCAGACAAAACTGTTGTTTTCTAGGCTCTTCTGTTCTTTAATTGAAGGCAAATGAATAAAAATATGAATACCACCAGGTCCAGCTTGCTTTAGGTGATTTGATTTTCTAACACTTAAGGAAAAGTCAAGTTCATATGATGTGCTAATTTTGTAGAGTTAGAAACCAAGTAATCCAGTATTACTGTGCCTTGAGAGTTTGAAGGGAACTATGTTAATGTAATGAGGACTTGGAAATAAGCTCTAGAAATTGATTTATCTTGGCAGTAATCAGGATGACTGGCTAGCTTTAGCTGATTGACTGAAACAAACAGAAGATCATATGGATGCATTAGGAAACCAGTACACGGGCTCAGAGGAAATGTTAGTATTTAATAAAGCTGATACTCATATCTGGAGACAGTGATAGTCAAAAGACAATGTGAAGGGGTTTTTTTAGCTTTTATTAGCTCCTTGAGCCACATATTATATAGGAACTCAGACATTGCAGTCAGGTGTTTTCATTTCTTAGGGATCAGAACAGGTGGAGCTATTCTGATATCTCTTATAGTAAGAATCGTAATTCTGTAAAAGTATCTACACCTAAATTAAACAAAACTTTTGTTTTATTCAAGCATCTAGTATACCTTTTGTTGATAGGCAAAAGAAATTCCATTAGCTAAGTAATTACAAAAGTTATTTCACCTTTCTCTTATCAACTTTTCTAACCACATGCACCTTCTTTTGAACTTCACGTAATCCTTCTGCACTGCCCCTATAATGCGAAAACACAGTAAAATAACCCACCCTAATGGATTATCTGTGATTAGATTAGTAAGAAATGCAGAGTGTGTATTCACATTTTGATAATTTCTTCTATACTCTCCTCCCATGACCTAGAAGGTCAGAGCTGGCTTTCACATCTTTAGAGTGAAGGGTCTGGTAAGATCCGAACAGCTTGACTTTCTTGTTAATCAGGTTAACAGGTTTTACTCCTCACGGTTATTGGATCAGCCTTTGACCTTGTTGTACCACTGCTTACACATCCATAATTCAACAAATAGTCTTAACACTATGACTGGGAAGCGGATCAGAGCTTTCTACACAAAGATGTATCTCAGTGCAGTCTAGTAAATCAAAAGGGCAGATAAGACCATCCAACAGTGGTTGCTGATAAAGCCAGGACCCCGCTGCAGGGATGACTGTTGGCCACTCATTTAGGGCAAGGAGCTTTTGAGATATTATGCTGTTGCCCTAATTATTTCCCCAAGTAATAAACTTCCATTTCTTAAACGCAAGAAAGTTCTAGAGGTTTTCCGCAACGAGATTTCAGGGTAAAATGCAATCAGTTGTTCTAAAGGTTGCTCAAAGTCTTTGGTTAGCAACAGTAATAACTTTTTTTGCTTTATGGTAAAAGAAAGAAACTTCCCTTTATATTCTAATGAAGCATATTTTTTACTGTTGAAATATTAATGTGACTGGGTATTTTATATCATGTCTTGGTATGAATTAATCAATATTGCAGTCTCTTATAAATAACCTGAACGTCTTTTTTTTTTCCCCTTTTAACTCATTAAAACATTAACAGGATGCATTAATGCATTCCCCTATTAACTTCACAGAAACTTGCTGTTAGGTAGCCAGATCCTGCATTTTTCCTGAGACTTAAATGATCAAATTATCAGATTTAATTATAAAGCCCAAAGCTATGTGTGAAGCAGGAACTTGGAACAAAATTAGGGTGCCAGCCTCAGCCGAAATCTCCTGTTATTGCTAAGATCTGATGGACTCAAGAATCCAGGATGTCAGAGGGGGTTGGAGAAAGCTAAGCAGGTCAGATACACCACTACAAAACTAATCTGAAGAACATAACAAGTTCCCTGACTCCCTCTACTTCTGATGGGACGGCTCTGTGAGTGTGTCCTGAAGAACAGCCACAAGCCACGAAGCTCCATTAGAAAAGCTGCTGGTAACAAAGCTGCTGCTGAAGCTACTCCGCTTCAGTCCCTCATTGCAAGTGATTTTGATTCTGATGTCAAGGTGGTGGGGGAATGGCAGATGAAACAAGTTCAGTTATCAGAAACACACGTAGGATTGCCCTTCACATAGCACCTACGTTGCCTTCCCATTTTCCTTCACATTACTACCTCCATGTGACTGAAAACATTAAGACCAACACATAAAATGTCAAGAAATCCGCACTGTCAAATCGGAAGTTAGTTTGAACATCTGCAATAGAACGTTTTCAAAAGTTAAGGTCTCTGGTCTGCTAGTCAGTTCTCCTACTTAATATTAAAGCACACTTTTTCCCACTGGCTTGAGTATCTTTTGCATTCACAGAATCACAGAATGTTTGGGGTTGGAAGGGACCTCAAACGATCATCTAGTCCAACCCCCCTGCCAGAACAGGATCAGCTACAGTAGATCGCACAGGAACGTGTCCAGGCGGGTTTTGAATGTCTCTAAAGAAGGAGCCTCCACAATCTCCCCGGCCAGCCTGTTTTTCCCACTGGCTTGGGGATCTTTTGCATTGCACAGCTGGATGCAAGAAGTTAGTTTTCAGTAGAATGGCATGTGAGAAATATTTCCCAACACATCGAGTAAACGATTGATACTGGCAGCTGTCCAAGGCTCCGTGCAGGATTCGTATCAAATTAGAATGATGATTAGTGTTCTGATTAAGATTTATTACCTTTACTCTACTTTATTAATTATTGTTTCTAATTTCCTCCAGGACATAATAATTAGCATACGTTCATGGAGGCCCTTAAAAGCGACTGATGGAAATTGCATAAAAATCGCTGTTGACGGCACAGATCATTTCAGAGGTACTTAACGATCCACGAACAGTGTTGCAAAACATCTGGTGAAGGTGGCGCGTAGCTCAGTTGGCTCAGCATTAATTAGCACCATTAGAAGAGAGCTTGCCCACAGGTACCCACTCACCTCTTCGCAGTACTTCAGGTCAACCGATTTGCCATCACTGCGAACACAATCGAGCATCCGTGTTTTGATGCCATTACCACAGACAGCCTTCTCGCTGAGTTGACATGTGCTCCAGTCTGGAAATAAGGAATTCATTAGCATAACAGACATTTTCGATAGAACTCACAGTGATCCAGTCTTCCACCTAATTCTAATTCTGATAACCTAAAATAACCCTCACAAGCAACTTTGACGCATGTGAAGGCTCACAGAGCGCAACTGCTACACATTTTTGGAAGCAGTGACTTTTACTGCAAATAGTCAGTGCCGTGATACCTTCCTGAAAAGTCACGAAATGATAGAAGAAATACATTTCCTGAAGTTATAGCACACGCACTTCCCCCAGGTTGCAAATCCTGATCAGATCGCCTGAACCAGTTCCCAGTACAAGCTCCACAGCTCCCTCCAGCTAAGAAGAGAAAGCTGAAAAACGTGTCCTGTAAGGTGAATGGAAGTGAGGCTGTCACTAAGGCATAACAGCACGGGTACCTGTCACATTGTAGTCGTAGTGGTAGCAGTTTTTGTTCAAAGTGCAGGCTTCTGTTTCGGTGGCAGCAGGACAAGACTTGCCATTGTCAGGTTGTCTCAGGGATTCAGCTGACCTTTCACGGACATTACTTCCATTGCATGGCTTGGGAGGGAGATTGGAAACAGCTTTGATATTTTGGCACCTTGGTTCTTTTTCATGCAACGTTGTAAAAAACGTTCAAGTCATCTCTTCACAAAACACAACTGTAAAGTAACAGGCTCATGCTGTTGTGTAAGAGAAACCATTTCCTTGTTATTTCAGAGAGACGTAAGTATTGCCTTGGTACCACTCAAGGTGAAATCCTGTCTAGCTTAGTAACACCTTGCTCCTTTCCTAACCAGTTCATATTTCAGTACTAGGGCTTTGGAACTATTTCACTAACAAGTGAAATGGACGCTGAGATACTCGCTTTCCAAACGCTTCAATGTAGTGCACTAGAATCTGAATACTCAGAGGTCCTGAAACACATTTTGATGTTTGATTTGGGTATTTTTTTGACATTTCTCGTTGAAATTGCTGGCAGGAAAGGGAAAGGAGACTCAAAATTATCTTTCTGTGCTACAGACTTTACTTGTTGTGGTATAGTGACGGTTTTAGCTCAGTGATCGCACTGCTATGGATAGGCTGCCAGCTAGGCTCTAAAGCGGACTCATAAGCCACTGCCAAAGCTATTCCAGCACACGGAACCCACGCCACACTGAAGAATGACCACTGGGGGCATTATGTTCTGGAGCAATTTTACTTGATGGAAAATACCGGCACACTTTATTTACAACCAATTACCAATGGCCCTAAAGATGACAGCGCTATTTAGATGTGTAATCACTGCTCAGTTCAGCATCTTTGCATGGTAAGTCAGGTAAATTTTTTAAATATCCTTCTAAAACTATAAATGCTATGCTTCGGAATGCTACTTACCAAAGAACATCGAGACCACGATCCCCATTCAGACATAACACAGTCCTCAGGGCACGGCAATGTGCATTTTCTAGCCCCAAGTGGCATATCTTCAGGATCACACAGATAGTCCTCTACAGTGTCCAAAGGACCATCCACAGTGTTTAACATGCACCTGGAAGAAAGAACTGCACATAAACTGCATTTGCCGTGGATTTCGTACAGAAACTGTGTTCCACAGAATCCTGAAGCATTTCGACATTTTTGTCAGCACATAAAAACCCTCAAGTAATTGAAGGAGCAGAACTATTGATCTATGAATATCCATGAAAAGCTGAAGAGCCAAAACTAATCCACCTTTTTACAGATGACAGCCATATAAAGAAATGCACAGGATTTAGACAGTCCTTATGAGTTATTTGCTGAGAGTTTGTGGGCAGGTGATTCACTTGACATGAGCTCACCTCGAAGCCAGAATAATGCAAATCATCTATAGTTTAGATATATTATGGGCATGCTTCAGCTGATAACTTTGAATTTAGAACTACTAAAACTTTTTATATTTCATACTCTTAGTACTAATCACTAATTGATACAGACACTTTTTAGTTACTATTACGTTAAATTAGCAGATTTCCAGTTAAAATGAGAAACGTAGATGCTTAGTTTTGCAGAGCTGCAGACAAGTCTTCATTCCACAGCATTTTCAGTGCTGTGGCACCTACTACTAACTTATCCCTTCTACTTGTCAGAAGAAGGACCAACTACTGCAGGACTACGATCATTCAAATTGAGATGCTCGCATCCATTCTCCAGAATTGCAAGAGAAAAGCTCATATCAAGAGAAAGCCTTTCACACACTAAGAAATACTTGGACTTTCTTCCATTTGACCCAATTTTTTTTTTTTTTTTACAAATATCTTACATTATCAGATTAACTTTTGAAACACTCTCTGTTCTAAGGTAAACACAAGAAATTGTTCGGTCCCCATGTGTTGCCTGATCTAGCCAAGAGGTGGCGACCCTGGCGACAGGGAGACTGGATTAAAATGATCTCTAAGGTCCCTACCAGCCTAGGCCATTCTATGATTTCTATGATTCTATGATTTCAATGTTTTCTATGATTTCTATGAAACACAGCATGAGTATATACTAGTTCTGTGGAATTAGTACCTTAATGGCATTACATGACATAAAAGAAAAACAGATGGGTTTAGTTCCAAAGGGCTGAAAACTCAATCTTTTTGATGGTAGTGTTAAAGTCTATTTTTTCAACACAAACACTGAGATTAATTTTGATTCTCCATATTAGAGTTTTTAAAAATATTTCTCCTAGGAATTTGTTTAGATGCTACTCTGTGAGTACAGTCCTTCTAGTTTTGCTCAAGCAAAGATTAAGACTTTGACCTTCTCGAAGTAAATACACTGTGGAAACAGTGCTATTGTGAACAAAATTATGTAAAAATGCCAGTTTCTAAGCACTTTCAAAGGAAAAAAGAGAACATTTAGAAGTTTACTATATACAGCTCTCATATTGATCCTTCAACCTGAATTCACATTATGCATTATTATTCAGTTTTAGAATCTCAGATTATGTGCCGCTTTGTGGTGAGCCATTAAAAATAACTAAAAACAACCCAATCAACACAAACTCGAGGTACTGATTTACTTGCTGTTGTACCACACCATGTGAGACTAATTTTAATTAACCTTTGTTGGGAGCTCTAGGATGATAAGCAAGCATACAAGATGCCTAGACCAGGTTCAACAAACAGTAGAGGATTTCTAGATTTTTCTATTCTGCTTCATTCGCTTTTGCCGCTTTTTCCTGTAATAAGCGTAACTATTATTCTCAAATGTGTATGTACTGAAAAGGGTTTTTTAAACTGTAGTTGCATATAGAAAGAGGACCATTTCACCTTTCAGAAAAACACTAAAATCATACATTACAGTCTTGGCAGTATAAGTAGAATATACATTAGTTTATAAACTAGGAATCAAGGTCAATAACCAGTAGACAGAGCCATATTGCACTCACTTAAGCTATTCTGACTTACATCAGCCAGAGTTCTGGTCCAGCTGGACTGGACACTGTCCATTACACAGAATTACATCAAATTAAATACAGCCATGATTGAAAATGAAGGAGGAGTAATACGGTTTTACCTGACTTTCCTTGTCTGAACACCTTCTCCACAGTTCTCCTTTAAGTCCACATTGGTCACCTTGCAGACGCTCCAGGGCTCAGTAACCCACACGTACTGGCTGCAGTCGCTGTGGCAGGGCACGACCTCGTACACCTGGAATCCACATCGAGCGTCGGTTTTGTTGCACACAGCAAGATAAACATGCAACAGTCATCACGCAAAAAAAAAAAAACCCAAAACACCCCCCCCCAAAAAAAACAGTTAATGGTCTTTTTGGTAAGAATGACAAAGGTAAGCTTGCTGATTTAGATGCTGTGTTAATAATAGAGATAAAATAGTTGATAGAAAACTATACAAATAACAAAAAATCAGAAGCTAAGACATCTGATGACAGATTCCCTGGTTTTCTCTGCCACTAAGCAACAGAATGGGTTGAGAATAGCCCTGAAGAGA